AAAATCACGGTTTTAGTAACGCAGTAACGCAGCGTTCCTACGGGAAAGTAACGGTAATCTAATTACAGTTTTTGCAATAGTAATCCCTTACTTTACTCGTTACTTGAAAAAAGTAATCGGATTACAGTAACGTGTTACTGCCCATCTCTGGTTATCTGCTGTGAGGCGTCAGCAGTCAGTGTGTGGATGCCGCTGAGCTAAGTTAAATGTTTAAACGCCCGCAGCCTCAGACACAAAGTCCGGCTTTGTTAGAGGTCAGCAGGGTGACTGAGCTCCACCTCCATACAGTCACCAACACAGGAGGTGACCCGCTGAAGGATGAACCAACGAGCAGGGACGGAAATCTACAGGAGCAAACTCAGGACGGGATGTGTCCTCACTCTGGTCCTTCACTCAAGTTTATATAGATTTTTTGTAAATGAGAGAATTGTTTGTGTATTGTTGATGAAACTAAAGTTCTGTCGCCGAGTCTCCATCAATGTGAAGCATGTTGGCGGGGGACAGGTGCGAACGGTTAAATGTGACGATGAAGGCGTCCAGGTGACTCGTGCTGTGCTCTGATTGGTCGTCCTGCAGGAGAGGAGCGTCCTGCTAAGGAAATGGTTCGAGCTGCTGACGCTGCACAAAGATGAGCTCGCCCAGCTGATCACGTTTGAATGTGTGAGTATGACACATGAACTCACCTGTAGGACACCTGAACATGCAGTACATGTCAGCAACGAGTGAGTACTTGTACTGTAGTACTTTTCAAATAAATACTACTTTAAAATGTTTGTTTGACGAAATAAGAAAACCTCAAGAAGTTTTTGTAAAAGTGTTTATTGTAACAAACACTCATCTTCATCCTGCTGCGTGTCTCTGCGTCTGCGTGCGTGTGTCTCTGCGTCTGCGTGTGTCTCTGCGTCTGCGTGTGTCTCTGCGTCTGCGTGTGTCTCTGCGTCTGCGTGTCTCTGCGTCTGCGTGCGTGTGTTGCAGGGTAAACCGATGCGCGAGTCTCTCGGGGAGATCTCGTACTCCGCCTCCTTCCTCGAGTGGTTTTCTGAGGAGGCGCGGCGAGTTTACGGTGACATTGTGCCATCTCCAGCCAAAGACAGAAAGCTCCTCCTCCTGAAGCAGCCGGTGGGCGTGGCCTCCATCATCACACCGGTGAGCAGCTCGTTAATGAATTGATATCACGTTATCCAAGCTAGAATCGATTTTAATCGATAATCAAACCCACCCCTAATAAATCCATCACATGACGTCCCGCAAAGAATTTGCTTTTGGTCGTTTCCAGTGGAACTTCCCCAGCGCCATGATCACCAGGAAGGTCGGCGCCGCGCTGGCTGCCGGCTGCACGGTGGTGGTTAAACCAGCTGAGGACACTCCACTGTCGGCTCTCGCTCTGGCAGAGGTGAGTACGTCAAACATCTGGATAGGGGTCGGCACTTTGTTTCCTCGTGGGACACACATTGTTGAGTCACTTCCTGTGTTTTGGCGTGTTTTTTTTCCCCCTCAGCTGGCGGAGCAGGCGGGGATCCCGGCAGGGGTGGTCAATGTGGTTCCGTGCTCCAGAGAGTCGACGCCCTCGGTCGGGCAGGTCCTCTGCACAGACCCTCTGGTGGCTAAAATCTCCTTCACTGGATCCACGGCGACCGGGAAGGTCAGAGTGCAGCGCCGCCCGCAGCGCCGCCCGCAGCGCCGCCCGCAGCGCCGCCTGCTGGCTGCGGGTAAGATCCACATAAAAAGCAGAAACTCTTCTTTAAATAAAACTTTGGTTTCAGGTGTTGCTGAAAATGGCCGCTGACACAGTGAAGAAGGTATCCATGGAACTGGGTGGCCACGCCCCCTTCATTGTGTTTGACAGCGCAGACCTTGACAAAGCGGTGGGCGGAGCCATGGCATCCAAGTTCAGGAACTCAGGCCAGGTGAGGGTGTCTCTTGCTGACCTGTTCCACAGGTGAACGCCACCATTGTGCACACTGACGCTTCTTCTTCCTGCAGACGTGCGTGTGCTCGAACCGGTTTCTGGTCCAGAGCGCCGTCTACGACCGCTTCGTGGAAAAGTTGGGGCGAGCTATGGATGCCGAGCTGCGTCTGGGTCACGGCTCGGAGCCCGACACCACGCAGGGGCCGCTCATCAACACCCGCGCCGCAGAGAAGGTAAACGCCGTTTCCACTATTAACCCCGATTGTTTCGTCCCCGTGGCAGAGAAAACCGACTCAGCGTTAGAACATTTATTTCTTTTATTCAATCATCTTCTGAAGAGACGCCTGCACAGCCCAGACGCCAGTTGCAGCATCTCTAACATTAGAATCATAACCTGTGCCTCATATAGGTGTTATTTTGGTACTTTACACGTCACAGTTTCAATACAAACATTGTTATATGGCAAACTTCCTCTTTTCTGTCTGGCTTCCTGTATTTATTAACATGCTGTACAGCTCTACACTTCCTGTTTTCAGCCTGGCTGAGTGCTTAGTTTGTGAGTCTACAAACCTTCATTATTAAAATACATAAAGCAATAAAATAAGGATACTAAGGATATATTAATTACATGACACCACATTACTGCCGACGATAAATGACTGAAGTTTGTTTAAAGACCACACCAGCACGCCGCTGAACGCTGTCTCTGCCTCCCAGGTGCTACATCAGATTTCGGACGCCGTGTCCCGCGGGGCGAAGGTGGTAAAAGGCGGGAAGCGCCTCGATGGCTCCTTCATGGAGCCGACTCTGCTGGCCGACGTCACCGCCGACATGCTGTGCACGAAGGAGGAAACCTTCGGGCCGCTCGTGCCCGTCATCAGGTGAGTCCAGACAGATGATCGAGACGGGATTTGTTGATCTGCGGGTTTAATCCCGGCTAGACGCAGATTCTTGTTTATGGTGAAGCCGTCTGAGCTCGCCTGTGTCTGATCTGCAGGTTTAACACGGAGGAGGAGGCTCTGGCTATTGCTAACGCGACCAGCGTCGGGCTGGCAGGTGAGTCCACCTGCGTGCATGCAGCCGATTGGTTCCTAGACTGCAGATCGCGGGCTGTTCATGCGTCGTCGCAGACGTGTCGGTTTCTGAGAGCAGGACTCAGAGCTGTAAATTAGACTTTAACGTTTGACCCTGTAGAAGAAAGGTTCACGTGGCGGCGCCTCATAGCTCTAACCTCCTCCTTTGTTCTCAGGTTACTTTTACTCACAGGATGTGAGTCAGATCTGGCGGGTGGCGGAGGCGTTGGAGGTGGGGATGGTCAGCATCAATGAGGGGCTGCTGTCCACGCCAGAGGCCACGTTTGGTGGGGTGAAGGAATCCGGCATGGGCCGCGAGGGCTCCAAGTACGGCGTCGACGAGTACCTGGAAGTGAAGTACGTGTGCTTTGGAGGCCTCAAACCGTGAGGAGGAAGAGGAGGCGGTACAAAAGCTGTGACTCGGTGGAGGTGGTCGGATTCTTTTATTAACACGTGATAACTCCTTCAATAAAGTTTGAATTCATGCAGGATCAAAAACGTCCAACCCCGGACTTTGTAAATCACATTTTGAATCAGCTGTCGCTTCTACGCTCACACACTCGGCACCAGCGCGACGCTTAAACTTATCTGAACCCGTCTCAGACTGGTTGGACTGCCCAAACTCACACCAGAAGGAGGCGCTACTCAGTCCGTTTATCTGCCCTGTCTGCTGTGATTGGCTATCAGTGTTAAGGGATTGTAAACTGAAGGGGAGGGGCTAACAAACCGCCACATTGTGATGAAACTTGTTTTTAAAATTATTTTCTGCTTCACCCGCGGCGCAGCGAGTGTCCATAAAGCTTCCAACTCGCATGAATCCTCCTGAATCGTGAAACTTGATTCATTCCTAAAGAAATTGTGCGTGATGAGCGATGCGCCTTTGGAAACGAAGCCGACAGAGCGACAGCCGGCGCCGCATCGAGCCATGAAAACACGAACGGGTGCAAACCTGTTGACTCGGCTCGTCTACATGTGAAACGCTCTCGTAGCAGTTTAATACCTGGATGTTTGTCTGTGACTTTAGCTGATGGGGTCAAAGTTCATGTGTGCGTTTTGTATTCTGACCACATTAAAGACGAGTTTGTGTTACTTCTGTGTTGGTGTGTTTATGTCGGAGGTGTCGGCTCACATCCTTCGTCTCTGATTCACACGCTGCTTCTCGTTAGCCAACAAACGTTGATGAAGTTTAACCCGGCGGACGGCGTCTGTGACCCGGGCTCAAACGAACCACGACCGTGTGATCGGACGCCGTCGTCAGCTGACTCTGCCGTGTTTCCTGGTGAGCGCTCTGTTAGCTAACGAGCTCACAGCTGTGAATCGGGCACGTGGCGGTGGTGCGATGCCTGATGTGTCCCGCCCTCTCGCTCTTCCTCTTACGTCCGAGCAGACGCGCGTCCGTCCTCCAGGTCTCGAGTTCCTTGCGTCCTTTGAAATGGGACATGTTAGCATTCTCTTGAAAACTGGGTAATGTGGTCCCTCATACACATCCCAGAATGCACCATTCTGCGTCTGCGAGAGGTCGGCCGCCCCGTCATCCGAAGGCGTCGCCGTTGCGGGCAGCCATGGTGCTGATGCGGTTCCTGCTGCGGACCGGCCGGTCGCGGCTGAAGATGGTGTCCTGGTCGCTGTCCAGCTCCGACTCGGACATCATGAGGCTGGAGTTGTGCTCCGTGCTGCGGTGCTTGATACCTGCACAGGGGAAAGGTCAGCGGGGGTCATGGTTTAAGTCTCAGTCATTGAATAAAGATGGAGGACGACCTCCCACCGCTCCAGGGAAACGTCTGCTCTAAAGAACAGCGGGACATTCCCAGGAACGTGGGAACAGTCAGGTGCTTTAAAAGAAGGAAGCGGCTTCGCTTTGGTTCATGAAGACGATTCTGCTCTTACCTGAGGTCCCGAGGGTCGCTGAGCTGAGCTCAGTCACATGACCCAAGGTGGGAGTCCTTTAGGAGAACGCATGGATCACCTGGGAAAGGACAAGAGCGATGAACCACACCCTGGTCACGTGATAGCTGCAGAGTGAATCAGCAACCCCGCAGGACCGCCTCCAAGGTGACGACTAACTGAGCCGCAGTGAAACGACTTCATGAACCAACGAGAACGCCGCCGCAGACCGACCCCGACAGCAGGCGGACTATGGCAATGTGACTCACTGAATTTGGGGCGGAGCTCCACCCTCTCCTGCTCGTCCATGTTGTCCAAGATGGTGTATTTGGTTTTCTTCCTCGCTTTGGTCTGTCGTCTCCTGAAAGCAGCAGAGACCAGTTCACGCACAGAAGCACACCTGGGATCAGTCTATCACCTGCAGCGGCGTCCTCACCTCTTACAGCAGCAGATGAACGTCCAGCCGAGCGACAGGATGAGGACGACGAGCACGAAGCTGGTCAGGATGACGTACAGGACCCTCCACTCTGTCAGAGGAGCACAGCCGACAGGTCAGCGGCTCGTACGGAGCTTCACCTGAATGTGTGCTGTGTGATGCGTACAGGTACATTTACAGGTGTGTGCACAGGCTTCACTGCTCGTTTGGAGGCCAGTTTGAATAAAGAGCTCTCCCCCTCCGTGCACTCGGAGACCAGCTTGCCATCAAATCTGGTTCCTGCATTAGTCTCTGCTGCTGTCGGCCTCGTTTACTTTCTTTTATTTGGCTTTTATTGATATCTAATTTTATTCTATAGTTCCAATGTACAGCACTCAGCTGGGGTTGTTTTAAAGGGTTTTATAAATAAAGGTGATGATGAATCAGTGACGACACTAACACGCACAGTTACCAGGCAGAAAAGTCCCGCGGCGCTCATGTTTAACATCAGCATCGCTTTCACAGCGGAACAAAGAAATTCGCTGCAGTTACATTAATAATATGCGCATCTGCTGCAAAGCTGCAGCTGCGCGTGTAAGTCGACAGCCGCAATAAAGAAGAACAACAACAGGACCCAGTTCTTTCTGTTTTAAGCCAGCGAGGCGTGATTGGGGACGCTGCTCACAGGCCCCGCCCCAGCTCTGCAGTCAGAAACGGGCTGACTGCAGCCAGTAAGACAGAAAAGTATGAAACTCACTACATGATGTTTCATCTCCGTTCACAAGTTTCTGGACTTTGAGACTGAACTTTGTTTCACATCCTGTTCAACTTGCTGCTGCAGACGAACGAAGCAGTCGAGGGACAAACGTCACAAGTTTGTGTGAAAATTGTTTAAACAGAAACGACTGAAGGATTCGTTGTGAACGAGTTTGTAATGTAAATAAAGTTTTCTGTCGTTTCTCGCCGTCACGTGAGGAATGACCCGCTGCTGTGACCGAAGACTACAAATCATACTTTACCACAGTTGCTCTCTCCGTCGCCAAGGTAACGACGAATCAGGTTCTCGGTCCAGAAGGGGTCGCAGGCACACTGCTTGGTGATTGGATCGCACTGACCACGCCCCGAACAGCTGAGCAGACACACTGAGGGAAAAACGAGCGCGTTAAACACAGACAAACGCCCCGCCCCTTTCTGAGATGTCACAGGTGAGCCGTGCCCTGGCTGGACTCACAGACTGTGTCCACCCTCAGGACTCTGAACAACAGGTAGTCGCTTTTCTCGAAGAGCAGCTGGCTGCGCAGCACGCCGACCAATCGGGAGGCAGAGAGGGGCCCCGAGGCGCCATGCACGGAGAACCGCAACACGGTGCTGCAAGCAGAGATAACATCACAGGTTATGGCGAGCCGGCACGTGGAGGGGCAAGTCCGCGGTGCGTGCAGGTACCTGATGTGGGAGTGTCCCTGCAGCGCTCGCACGTGGAGGTCGCTGTCAAGGACGTGGATCAGAGCGGCGAGCTGTCGGACCACCGTGTCTCTCTGAGCCACGCTCACCTGAGACACCGACACCAGCATCTCCAGCTCCACCTGCTCACCGCCGCCGGGCTCTGCAGACACGTGGGACAACACATCTATGTTGGCGCAAGCCTGCGTAACACAAAACGGGACGAACGGCGAGCTTCCAGCCTCACCTGGTCGCACCTCCACAGTGGCCGTGGCGGAGCCGGAGTGCCCCTGCGCGTTGGTCACCTTCAGCTGGAACAGGTAGGTGCCTTCGACCAGGTTGGCGAGGTAGAGCGAGGGCTGAGTATCCGAGCCGTACAGTACGTCCTGGAACCAGCAAAGGTCAAAGGTCACTCCGTCACACACACAGTGTGAGGTCGATGAGCCGCCACTGATTTAAACTGTAGTTTAGTTTCCCGCGGGTCACCTGCGCTCGTTAATAAAGTTTGATTTGAAGCGTCGCAGCGCTGGTCGGAACTCACCCCGGCAGCAGGACTCTGGCTGTCCCGGGTCCACAGGAAGTGCACCACGGTCTGATCGGCGTTGGTCACCGAACCTCTGAGGACCAGAGAGTTGTTGGGCAGAGTGAGCGAGTGGCTGCCGCTGGCGTGGGCGACCGGAAGAAAACTACCGGCTGGAGTTTGGAGGAAGCAGACGACCTTAGATTAGCGTGTTTGTGATTTAAACGAGTCTGACAGGAAGAGCTCCGCCTTCCACAAATAACACCGAGTCGCTCACCTTCTGGGACTTTGACAGTCAGCGAGGCGCTGTCTGTCGCCCCCTCCTGGTCAGATACGGTCAGTCTGAAGGTGTAGCGCCCCGCCCGAACCCCCGAGGCTGTGGCGACGGGCTGATCTGCGTCGTCCAGCCTCAGCCCGGGAGGCCCGCTGGAAAACACGAAACCCGACCGAACAAATTTGATCTTTCAGTCACAGGAACACGAAAAAGGCTCCAGACTTACCTGACCGCCTCCCAGCGGTAGCTGACGATGCCGCTGTCGTCACTGCTGCCGCTGCCGTTGAGCAGCAAGCTGCTCACCGGGAGAGACAGGCTCCTGTCGGGGCCCACGACGGCCACCGGACCGCGGTTTGACCCTCCAACCTGTGACACCGACGCTGAAGCTGGAAAAGCGAGACGAGGTTTAAAGAGTCGGTGTGAAGCCACAGAAAGCATTAAACCCGTCGAGTTTACCTGCTGACTCAGTCGCCGTCGTAGGGTTAAAGCTGGCTGCTGACAAGGTCGGGGTAGTAAGGTCAGAGGTCACAGTCAGGTGGGTGGTGGAAGGTGGAGTTCCGGCTGCAGACTGAAGCATCTTCACAGCGTCTGTGCGAGAAATGAAGGTTAAATTCTTCCTTTCATTTACCTGCTTCCTCACCTGGTCTCTCTGAGGTCACCTGTTTGTCTTTAAACTGAACTTTGACCTTCACACTGTCTCAGGTGAACACCACCCACTTACTAAAATGAGTCACCTCCAACCACCACAAAGTTTCTCCTGGGCAGTAACTACACTCCTACACGTGACAGTCTCTGGTTTAACATGAACCATCTACAGTGACCAGCAGGGGGCGACTCCACTGCCTGACATGAACTCAATAACCTGTTTTTCCTTAAAAAAAGACTAAATAAAAATATTAAAAAAGATCAAATGTTGATCTAAACAAACATTTTTTAGTCATAAACTCACCTGACGTGGGTCTGCTGGTAGGTTCAGGAGCAGCTGGAGTGGCGGGTTTCACTGTGGTCGCCTCTACGGGGTTTCCAAGAGACACCAGCAGGGGTGGAGCTGCATGTGGAGGACAAGTTACTGCTCCACTGGTCAGAGGGACAGGACCTGTGAGGCTCTTCAGACACGTTTGCTAAAGTTTATCTTTAAAACAATGAACTGGAGTGAACCTGCGACCTGACGGAGGTGTGCTGACCTGACCTGACGGAGGTGCTTACCTGGGTTTGCTGTGGGGCTGCTGGAGGTGTGGGCTGGCTCTGAGCTGGTCTCCGGTGTCAGGGGTGGAGAGGTGGAGCTGCTCTGCGTCTGTAGGGAGAACAATGACAGGCTGCAGACTGGTCTCCATGGAGACAGTTATCATATGAGCTCACGCTCTGAACTCACTGATTCCTGTGGCGCCACCTCCGTCGGTCTCTTGGCCCCACCCTCCTCTCCCTGGCGCACGCCCGGGGCCGCGCTGCTCTCTGTCGGCCTCCTCTCTGGACCATCCTCAGCCTCTGATTGATTGAAGCTGCCCCCCCCTTTCAAAGGTGGCTGATTGGTCTCCTGTTCTGGGCTGGCTCCACCCCTCTCCTCCTGGCTGTCCTCTGAGTACTCGACATCCAGCATCCCGGGGTCTGGGAAGCCTCGATGTGGCGTGTCGAACAGGGAGAGATCTTTCAGGGCCTCCAAGTCGCCGGGCGCCTCAGACGAGCGTGAGAGGGGCCTCCAGCGCCCACCGTAGGGCTCCCCCCTCACCAGGGACTGAAGCACCAGTGTCTGCGGGGACGGGCGTCGCAGGAAGGCGAGGAACGAGTCGGCGCCAGGCGTCTGCCGGGGCTGGCAGTTCTCCCTCTGCTGGCAGCTCAGCACGTAGCAGCGGCCCTCGAACAGCCACGCCAAGTCGTAGCCGGGCAGGTCGCAGCACGCCGCCACGCACTGCGGCAGGGACGACACGCTGGGCACCCGCAGAATACCGCTGCTCTCGACCACGGGAGACACCACGGCCTCGGAGAAGGTCGCCCCCTGCCAGCACTGAGATGCCACTGCAGCTGCAAGAGAAACGGGTTTAATAAGATGCATGCGAAGAGAGACAGCTTTACATTTTTCCTGATGAACTGCGGGCGTCCGCTTGCTGCAGAGACACCCGCAGCCTGCAGACGTCTGAGCTTTATACTGCAAAGGGCAGTATAAAGGCAGCTCAGCGTCACTGCACTGCATAAGCTACCATAAATGATGCTCCGCCCTCACAGATTAAGATGAAGTCAGCTTCTTTAAAAGTCTGATCGTCTGAGGGGAAACACCACGGAGCCTGCTGCCCTTCTCTTTGTGTCTTTGCTGCACACTTATAATTGATCCTTTAGTTTTCCTCCATCACCAGAATAAGATTACAGGCTGGCAAGTTCAACATTTCAGTTCAAATAAACGGATTAAAGTGTGTTAAACACAGTGTTGGTGAGTAACAGAGTACATGTGCCGCCGTTACGTATTTGAAATACAGAATATGAGTAACTGTATTCCATTACAGTTACCGTTTAAAAAGGTGGTATTCAGAATACAGTTACTTTGTTGAAATAAATGGATTACACGGCGGTACTTTCCTGTTTCATATGTTCGGCTCTGCTCTCTCTGTTTTTGGTTTCCACGCCGATGGAAACCAAAACCAAACACGCATTAAGAAGCTCTAAGCATGTAAATATAATAATAACCACTGCAGCCAAACAGAGCGCCTGACGAGCCCAGCTGTGAGTAAGCTGTTAAGACTCGACTGTACGCTGTGTTCCTGTTTTCCTCTGAAACAATAAGTTCTGTTGCAGCAGCCTTTCGACGCCTCTCTCTGTCTCTCGCTAGCAAAGTGAAGCTAGTTTTCAGCTACGAGCCCGACACGAACCCGACGTATCAGCCAGAGGTCCCTTTACTACGGTTCGGAGCCGCGGACCTGTTTTATATACGCGAGGAATAGTTTCTATACGAGATCGCTGCAAAAAGTGCAGCCTTACCTAATGTCCACCTACTGTTACTCATTCATATTAAGATTTAAACATCTGGTTGGTGTTGGTGTGGAGAGTAACCTTCAGTAATAGTAATAAATCACACAGCAGTAGGACATTCATGTAGTTGTAAACAGCATGATAATATATTAAGTAATCCAAAGTATTCAGAATACACTACTGTCATTGAGTAACGTAACGGAATACGTTACAGAATACATTTTGGGGCATGTAATCTGTAATCTGTAGTGGAATACATGTTAAAAGTAACCTTCCCAACACTGGTTAAACAGTCCTGGGTATGACACGTTTTAATCCATGCTGACATTTTTGACACGTCCACATTTCTGAATGGTTTTACCTTCCACCGCGTGGATCAGTAGCAGAAGCATGTTTTCCCACATGGTTGGTCCGTCAGCCTGAAACGATCGATCACAGCAGGTTAAAAAAATCATCGCTGCTCCTCACACACCTGACAGCAGTGACGTGGTCCTCCCTGCACGGTTTCAGCACCGTCACGGTGGACAACGCCACCTGGAGCCCCGCCCAGCAGCACGAAGCAGCCACGCTGTCACTGAAAACAAAGCTTCGGCCCCGCGAGGCCAAAAAACCCAATTTGATATTAAAAAAATCTCCCCATGAAGCAAACACGTGCTTGTTTATCAGGAGCTAAAAGCGCAAAAATCCATTCCAGGCATCGCTCTGGCTGTTCCACGCTCCTCAGGGTACCATTCAGAAAATGACTAGTTTATATTTCATTATTTATAAGTAAATATTCATAAAAGATTAAGCTTCATTCATAAAAATTGAAGGGCCCAAATTAGTCATCCTTTAATTCGGCAAAGGTTTAGGCCAGTAAACCCGAAACCTTGCGCTAAAACATCAAACTCCGTGAGGCCGTTTGAGGGAAACCTGATAAACAGGACGAGGCAGGGAAAAAGCACCACCACTTATAAACGAGCCGAATCGCAGCACGTAGTGAAAGAAAGCTGAATTCACGTTAGTCATCTGATTTTTTTGTTCTGCTGAATAAAAATCTTTAATTTTGCAGATTTTTAAATGTAGTTCTGCATGATGAAGGCTAACAGCGCAGATTACGATGAGAATCCAACACCTGCCGTCGCAGGTCGCTGTTTTTAACATTTACAGCTCCAAGACAAAAGCAGACGTCTCAGTGTTCGCACGTTTCACCGATTACACCGTCCTCGCGCCGTTTGCGGGTTTTTATTATGGAACCCGCAAACGGCGCGCGGGTTATTAACCTGGATGTAACGCACCTGACTCCTGCGGCGCTCCGGGCCTCCCAGCAGGCCTCTCGGCTCCTCAGTGCTCCTCCCGGCCGGACCCCGTCAGCCCCGCGGGCCTCATACTGGACTCAGCGCTGGGGGTTCAACCACAAAGATTTACCTGCTCACACTGCGATGCTGAGAAAGCACGAGCGCCGTACGTCCGAGAAAATCACACGCATACACATCCGGTCATACCTTTCAAAATAAAGCCGACAAATCCTAGTGTTTGAAATGAAACCGTTATATCAGCACCATGTCAGGGGAAATGAACAGGGAGCGAGCATACACTGGACGTTTTTTTGTGGATATCTGGATATCATGTAACGCAATTTTAACACATTTATCTTTGTTTGAAAAGTTTTGTCCTTTACTGGAAATTTCAAAACCCAACTATGCTTTTATTTTGTCGGGAATACTGTGCGAGTTCCGTTGCGGATTAAATGAACTGCATTCATTTGCCCCTTGCCCTCCATTGTGTGCCTTTATTTTCTCTCCTGTGTGTTATTTATTCCTGCACAGTTGGCTTGGAGCAAAATGACAATAAAAATAAAATAAATTCTATTCTGTTCTATTCTGAAATTGTATTAAGGCTGAAAGTTGGCATTTGGGGCGTGGCCTCTTTGACTGACAGGCGGCGGCTCCATCCGCTAGCTTCACCTGCACTCTGAGCTTTTGACTTTTTAATAACGTCATGTGACGATGCTGGGAGGTTACGGACGTCGGAGCTCCAGTTCAAAGAGAGATTCGCTAAAATGCTAACGTGGAAGTTTCACAACGGTCGAAGTCCAGCAGCCCGCACCAAAATAATCATAAATTTAATGTATTTGCAAACTCTGCTCACTTTTATTTGTTTTCTTAAAAAACATTTACAACTGAAATCACGAGCATTTATAAATTACAACAGCAAACACAATATCAGTTTAAATGCGCCCGCCTGAGCCGGCTCTAACCACAGGCGGTCAGCTGGCTGGTTACAGACTCAAACGAGTTTAACCACAGCCTGAAGTTCACGCCTGGCTCCGGGGCGCTCGGCTGCAGCAGGAACTATTTCACTGATGAAGCTATCGTCAGCGTGAGCGTGCTTTAGTCTCATAACACGTTACAGTGCCCCCTCAAACCAAAAACTCACATTTATTCAGCCATCTGCCCCCCGCATGCTTCTGCAAGCTGTCCATTCAGAGGAAAGCTGGCATCTTAAGAGACAGTAGCCAAAGCAGAGGGTGACTGAGGGGCTGAGCCCTGACACAGGAGGATTATTTTGAACTGTGAATCATGCAAAGCTGCTCCATGACACTAAAAATATGAAGCTGGAAATATCAGTGAGAAGTTGCCGGTTTGATTCCTGCTGCTGCTGAGACGCCCTAGAGCAAACTGTTAGCTTTGTGGGTCAGCTGACAGACCAGACGTGAACGGGCATCAGGTCACAAACTGAGCATCTGGTTCAGGACAATCACACACGACCCAACAAAAACATCAGCCGTGCAGCAGACGTGGCCTCAAAAGGAAATATGAAGTTTTTTGTTTTTTAATATTTAAAAAAAACTAACAAAAGATCTGCAGAGGCTCCACCCACTGCTTATCTGAACAACCAATGAGCTCTCAGATCAGGTAAGGTGTGTTACCCAGAATGCCGTGGGCACAGTGATGCGGCACTCCTGACTGCTGCTGCTCAAAATAAGCAGGGGTGCTATTTTTGACAGAAACCACACCAAGCTACTCTGAGCAGAGAACAGGAAGTCAGAAACAAGCCACATTTCAAAATAAAAGACCCCATGCAAGGCTAAATGCTCCAGGTATAACTAGAAGATCCTCAGAGACGTGACGGAGCAAGTCAGGATTCAAATCATCTGGACCTGCGGATTCCTCGGTCAGGCCTGAACTGTCTAGGGTAGCTGCTGGTGCTCGCAGGGCGGACAGGAAGGAGAAGGCGACGCCTTCAAGGGGAACTTGTCTGTAAATTGGATCGTTTATTTCCTCTGACCTCGCTTGTCCCAAACCAGACGCTCTGAGCTGAAACCAGCGAAGCTTCCGAGCATCAACACATGACAGCGTGCATTAAATCCGTCCTCTTTCCTCTTCAGCCTTAACGCTGAGTCGCTGAGCTCCATCAAAAAGCTCTGCTCTGCATTCTGCCGCTGAAACAACCTGTTTATTACACCCTCTGCTTTATTAGAGCCATAAATATCTACACTTTGTTATAATACAGATTTCACATCACACAGCACTTCCCGAATGAGTGCGTCGGGCCTCCAGGTGAGTCTCCAGGTCCAAACAGAGGGGAACTTCCTGTACTGCCATCTGGATTCTAACAGGAAATAGTTCGAGCTTCATCGTGGAAGTCAGGCAGCGGGCGGTGGATGAGAGGATTACAGCCGTGTGTGGGGGAGGTTACTCTACTCGTTATGATCGGTGATCTTTGTCGCCGGTCGGATTTTACAGGTGACCGCTGTTGTACTTAGCTTGCTAACTCGCTCTCCGAGACTTTCACTCCGCCTCCGTGGAAGCTCGTGTCAGGTCACCTGCTTCAGTCGTGCTTCGCTGATGTGCACCAGCACCACAAAGCTGCAGAGGGAATCCAGCGGTGACTGGAGGATGTGAGAGGTTTGGGTTTTTTGCCATTTCCTGTGTCCTAACCTTGGCCTCTGTGGTCACATGGAAAGACTCAAACTGCAGCTTCATTGTGACGGGCCGACCATCTTCTGGACGACTCCCAGCACAACGAGTCGTTCAAAAACACTAATAAAAAACGTCTGAAAGTCCTTCTCGACCACGCTTTAAAAACAAACTGTGAGGCTCGCCCGTGACCATGCAGTGCATCTTTAAATCAGGCAGCCCGGTCCGAGCTTCTAACCAGCCCTCGCCTTCGACGCTGCACCAATCACGGCTCAGAATGCTGCTGAGAGAAGTGCGTTCCTTTTGTCTCCTGCTGCCGGATCTACTTTCAGGATCGTTGATGGAGCCGTAGAGCGTCTGGATTCACACCGACGAGGCAAAAGAAGGACAGGACAGGAAGGAGTGCGGCACTCCGACCTCCACCTGGAGGCAGCAGAGAGGTGAAGAACACGAGCAGGTGAAGGCAGCGGGGATCCGAGGGCTCGCCATTTTCCCTTCGCAGGGATGAACGAGCGCGGGGGACGTCACCAGGACCCGTTTCAGCATTCGAGAGGCGGGTGGAAGCTGCGTCTGCAGTCGATGGCCTTCGGGCTGGGAGGCTGTGCTCGCTTCTTCCGCAGCTCCTCCCGACCCAGAGTACCGCTGAGCCGAGAGTACGCCGTCTTGTACTTCTTATCGAACGCCGCTGTAAGAGAGAGGAGGAGGAGTTACCATCGAACAGCTGACCTCAAAGATGTCGAAGGTTAAAATCTGCGAGTCTGTGACTGAACTACAGACCACACCCATGTAAAGGAACAGCCGTCAAAGTCGTGTGCTTCCTGATTTAACACTGTTTGACCAGTTACTCTGTTCTGCTGGGAGCAGTCTCCACGCAGCATGAACACGTCTGCTGACGGTGCCGTGAGGAGCTCAGCAGTCATACTGCAGAGTGACACGACAGGAGGATGGACCTGAGCGATCTTCAGGCCTGCAGGGCCTCACGGTTTGGCTCTTACTCCCCGAGTGTCTTAAAGACATAAAGGCCCAGACGGCCGCTAACTTTCTGCTTCTTAACTCAGATCAAACTGAGGTTATTGTACTCTTGTTGCTTTTTCTATTATTGTACGATCTACTGTACAATATAAAGCGCCTTGAGGCGACTGTTGTTGTGATTTGGCGCTGTATGAATAAAGTTAAATTGATTGTGTGGCGATCATCTGAAACCAGGCTCCACCTCCTGATGACGTGTTAGGAGATTAAATGGTGGACTCCAAGAGTTCGCACCATCAATTTAGTGATGGGTGGGTGGATGCATGTATTGGTGGATGGATGAGTGGATTGGGTGGATGGACGGGCGGGCAGCCTCGACCTTTGACCTCCAAAATCTAAACATTTCTTCCTTTGGTCCATGTCTGCAATTTATTCACAGACATCAGCTTCACAGGAAACGCCCACAAACACGAATGCAGAACATACTAATAATAATACTGCTAGCTGCTAGCCTGTGGCGTGTTCTTACCGACGTGATCTTTGCCCATGGCTGCCAGCGTGAGGAAGAGGAACTCTCTGTACAGACTCCTGCCAGACAGAAAACACAAAATTCACATCTCATCGCATCAAAGTAAAACCTCAGCTGAACGTTTTTCAGGTCGTCTCGCTGCTGCCCGTCTCCGTTTCACAAACTTCTGCGCCTGCCGGCTCACCTCTGGATCCTGGGGGTTCCCGGCTGTTTGGCCAGCGTGTCCAGGAAGAGCGTGACGGCCTTGTGCACCTCATTCATGCCCACCCACCGCAGCACCTCCTCCAGGAAGGACAGGGTGAACGGGTGGTTGTGCCTCCGCCAGCTGTAGCTTCTCATCAGGACGCCACCTGTTGGAAGGAAAGAAGGATGGCGGCTTAAATGCTTAGATGTTAAAAAGTCAACAACTCAACAATAAACGTGTGTTCATCTCACTGTGGATCCTCCAGAGGACGTAGAGGGGGGGCCACTGGTCTGTGTCGGGGGTCAGGGTGTCCCACAGGAGTCTCACTCTCACTGCCGAGTTCTCCGACTGGGAAACACAAACGACGAGAGTCAGCCAGGCGTCATCTAACCGATAACATGGCTGCTGTGAGGTCACCGCGGCGTGAGCTCAGGTTTTATTGGGATGTCACTGATTAGCAGGTGTCCTGTACAGTCTGTCGATGCAGACAAAAAAGCCGCGCTGCTGGTGGACGTGATGCCAAAGTGCAGGCTTCAAATTCAACATCGAACCCCAGCCGGCACAGCACCGAGCCGACCCCACATTCACCACAGTCGACCTCATTTTGCCCTTTTTGTTTTTCTCTCCTGTTGGACACGCCCATCTGGCTGCCATAACTTCGCCTAACTGTGTTACCTGTGTGAACTGGCTGACCAGCGGTGAGGCTCGGACCAGCTGCAGCAGGTTGTTGGGCAGGCCGAGGCGCTGGAAGTACCACACCAGGTTCCAGAAGATGATGGAGTGGTTGTCAAGGAACTGAGGCTGGGCCAGGACCGCCTCGCCTTCGTTCTCCAGCAGACTCTCCAGCTCCTTCCTCAGAACCAGAGGGCTCAGGTAGGCCACGGTCACCTGGGGAACGCCGCCCACTGACGAACCCTGATGGAGGGGGTGGAGTCTGTGAGTGAGACGTCCGGTGAGGATGATGTGTGAGAGAAACGGCTTTGCGGAGCATTACCGTGGTGGTCCTGCTGGTCTCGGAGTAGCTGCTGGTCTCGGAGCTGGAGTCCTCGCTCAGCCCGTTACACTGGGGTCGCAGGGACGCCTCGTGACCACTGGGGGGCCTCACGGCACTCTCCACCTCGTCCTCCAGGTTCCAGTTGCAGCGGTCCGCACTGACAAGGCAAAGAAAAGTCAGCTCCGGAAAAGAAACACCTGTCAATGCGGCATAAACGATCTATGCTTCTGGAGTTTGACCACCAGCAGCCGTCCGTCCTGCAGGAACACCTCTGGTTACCTTAGGCCACAGCAACGTGCTAAACCAGCTGTACCTGCTGACGGGTCCAAGGTCACAGATCTCGGCGTTCAGGAAGGGAACAAAGGAGGAGCCGCAGAACGGGCAGGAGGAGTTCAGGTTGGAGTCGTCCGATGTCCAGCCCGCCATGATCTCCTCGTCGTAAACCAGCGAGTTGCAGCTACGACAAAGCGAGCAGCTGGACATCAACACCTGGACACACGGGGGGAGGGGCTCAGGTTAACCGACGGGACCAGTCCAGTTGCTGCAGCGTTCCTAAACACGCTCCATTTACCTCTATTCCCACCCCCTCCTGATTGGCGTCCCAGGACCGGCGTAGAGGATACGCAGGACTCGGCACATCCATCAAGTCGAGGTCGCTTCCTACAGACAGCGAGCTCTGAGAAGACAGGAAGTAGATTAGTGACAGAGAGAATGTGTGCAGACGATGCTCACGAACCAACACAGACTTCCATCAACAGCAGCAAACAGCTGCAGGCTCACATCACACACCTCCGAGCAACGATCTGACACGAGCAAACGCGAAGACGCCGCCGTTACCTCTGACGTGGCGTTGACCAGCTTCTCCTTTGCTTTCAGGAGAGTTTCGGCCACTTGACCTTTCCTCGACGGCCTCTGGTCCGACACTCTTCGTCCAATCACTCCTCCTCCTGCTCCCCCCCCTCCTCCCAGGCGCCGGTCGCCCACGCTGGCGGCTCGTCGCACGGACACTCGGTGTTTGGTCGGCGTGAGGAGTTGCTGCAGTTTGCCCGCCAGTCCTCCTCGGCTCGGGGAGGAGACGTTGTTGTAGTTCTCATCGACAGCTTTGTTCCTGCCGGCCGAGCCCTGCACGTCGGCAGGTCTGAGGATCAAACACGCACACGGGTGAAGAAACGTCCAATCAGAGGCCAGAATCGATGTCAGACAGGTGAAGGTGAAACTGACCGTCTGTCTGCCTCAGCGGGCAAGTCCAGCTCTGAGTCGGCCGACTCCACGCACTCTTTGTAGAAGCTGGAGAGGCAGACCTGACTCCGCTGAACCAGAGCTCCACCGGAGGGCGCTGGAGGCGGCGTGGACGTGTCCCGCCGTCCCAGCGGGGGTTTACGGGAGACGGCGTCTGCGCAGCCATTGGCCCCCGCCTCACGGAGGACGGACTTCTTACCCGGTTTGACCTCTGTGGGGCAGAAAGGAGAATTAGTGAGACGATGATGTCACAGAGGAAGAGGAGGACGCGGCGAAGCTGAGCAGGCCGCCTCTTACTGTCGCTCGCCATCTTCATGCTGCTCAGACTGTTGCTCTTCACCAGCGGGCCAGTCAGAGACTCGTGACTCGAGCTTTCACTCAGACCGCTCCAACTGGACTGACGAATCAGAGAGGAGTGGGGGCGGGGCCTTCGGTCAAACTCCGCCGCCGTTTCTGTAACCAAACGTATAAATGAAAGGTCAGGGCTACTTTCTGCGTAATGGTGGGGTCATCCATCAACGCTCCCCGCCGTCTGAAAATTAAAAGCATAAACTTAAAGATGTCTGACCTCCACGCGAACCCACGGAGCCGCTCTTCTGCCGCCGTTTGATTGGCTGTCTGAACTGGGCCACAGCCAGCAGGACGTTCCTCAGCTTGGCCCAGCGGAGACGCCCGCCCTGATTGGTCGACGGCCACTTGCTCTCCAGCACCGCCTGAGGAGAGAGAACGGCGTCAGCGAGGACGTTCAGAGTTCACGCCGTAACATCAGGAAAACACCTGAACAGGTGACGCGCACCGTCCTCGCCACGTCACTGTGTGTCTGTGTTGTGTGACCTTGTTGTAGTATCCGTAGGTGATGGTGTTCGGTGTGATTCCCGCCTTCTTCATCTCCAGCAGGACTCTGACGGCGAGGACTGGCTGCCCAAACTGACCACACAGCTGCATCAGGATCCGGTAACACACCTGCGCGCGC